GACAATAGTTCTGAAGACGATCTCGCCTTGGCTGTAGATGAGAAGGCACATCGTGGGGATGTGTGGTTTCTGGATACTGTAGCCTCATACCATATGTCTCCGAACAGGGATTGCTTCACAACCTACGAGCAGATAGATGGTGGTAACGTGGTCATGGCAAATGGAGCTGTCTGCAAGGTTGTTGGAATCAGGTCCATAAAGGTTCGGGCACATGATGGTTCATTCTGTACCGTAAATGATGTCAGGCATGTTCCACGAATGACAAAAAACCTGATCTCCTTGAGTCTACTCGACAGCAAGGGTTTCGGCTTCAAAGGAAAAGGTGGAGTTGTGTATGTCTGCAAAGGTTCAAGGAAGGTGTTGAAGGGCGTGAAGCGTGGGACCTTGTATGCATTACAAGGATCAGTGTTGTCTGGTTCTGCTGCAGTTGCATCGTCTCAGGTTCATGCAAGTTCTATCGAAGAGGGATCTTCTTTGCGGGAACAAGGTGCAGAATTTTGAATTCTGTGAGCATTGTGTGTTCGGGAAGCTACATCGCAGCAAGTTTCCCAAGAAGGGTATCCACCGGACGAAAGGGATACTAGATTACCTCCACTCCGACTGTTGGGGTCCTTCACGAGTTGAATCGATTGGAGGCACCAGGTATTTTCTGTCTATTATTGATGATTATTCGAGATTTACTTGGATTTTCATGATGAAGCAGAAAAGTGAGGCTTTCACGAAGTTCAAGCAGTGGAAGACATTGGTGGAGAATCAGACCGGGAAGAAGATCAAGAAGCTGCGAACGGACAATGGTCTGAAGTACTGTAATTCTGAGTTCAACGAATTCTGCAAAGATGAAGGGATTGCCCGTCATCGGACTGTGAGAGATACACCCCAGCAGAATGGCGTTGCAGAAAGGATGAACCAGACATTGTTGGAGAGAGCATGGTGCATGCTCTCTAATGCTGGACTAGAGAGAAGATTCTGGGCAGAAGCAGTAAACATGGCGTGCTTCCTGATCAACCGTGGACCTCACACAGGTATCGAGTGTAAGACTCCTTATGAAGTGTGGTATGGTAAGCCTGCTGATTACTCTTCACTGAAAGTTTTTGGGTGTCCTATTTATTATCACATGGATGAGGGTAAACTGAACCCAAGGGCAAAGAAAGGTGTATTTGTGGGTTACAGAGATGGAGTTAAGGGATTTCGAGTCTGGTCACCTTCTGAGCATCGAGTTATACTTAGTAGAAATGTGATATTTGATGAGAAGTCTATGTTTAACCCCATGTTGAAGGTTACTGTTGTTGAAGGTAGCAGGAATGTTGATAAGCCGGTGGAGATGCAAACTCTCAATGAGAGTGAGTTTGAGCACCAAGGTGGAGAATATCAACATGAGGATGCTTCTACAGAGCCAGAAACTTCAAGGTCCAGTTCAGGAGCTCAACAGTCTATAGCTTCCGGTAGACCGAAGAGAGCGACTGCAGGAGTACCTCCACAGAGGTATGGCTTCGAGGACATGGTAGCGTATTCATTTAAGGTAGCTGAAGAAGTGGATGCAGGTGAACCACAGTCCTATAGAGAAGCCGTTTCGGGTGGCGAAGCTGATCAGTGGCTTGCCGCAAAGGGAGATGAGATGGAATCCCATGACAGGAATCAGACTTGGGAGCTAGTCAAACGACCACATGGAAGGAAGATTGTGACAAACAAGTGGATCTACAAGAAGAAGGAAGGAATCAGTTCTGAAGAGGGCATTAAATTTAAAGTTCGGGTGGTTGCACGAGGCTTCTCGCAAAGGGAAGGAGTTGACTACAATGAGATTTTCTCACCAGTGGTCAGACATACTTCGATCAAGGTGCTACTAGCTATAGTGGCACATTATGACTTGGAGCTCGAGCAGCTAGACGTGAAGACAGCTTTCCTAGATGGAGAGTTGGAGGAAGAAATTTACATGACTCAACCAGAAGGATTCCAGGTTCCAGGAAAATAAGACCATGTTTGTAAGCTGAAGAAGTCCTTGTATGGACTTAAGCAATCTCCGAGGCAGTGGTACAAGAGATTTGACAATTACATGCTTGAGCTGGCTTACAGCATAAGTCCATATGATTGTTGTGTGTATCACAACAAGGTGGAGGATGGTTCGATGATCTATCTTGTTCTGTATGTGGATGATATGCTCATAGCTGCGAGATCGAAGTCTGATATCCAGAAGTTAAAGGGGCTTCTACGTGCTGAGTTTGAGATGAAGGATTTGGGAGCTGCTCAGAAGATCTTGGGTATGGAGATTTACAGGGACAGGTCGAAGAAGAAGCTTTTCTTGTCACAGAAGAGCTACATCCAGAAGATACTGACGAGGTTTGGCATGTCTTCAGCAAAGCCCTTAAATACTCCTAGTGCTTCAAATGTTCATCTATCCTCAGCTTATGCACCACAATCAGAGGCTGAGAAGGAGAACATGTCGAGAGTCCCATATGCTAGTGTAGTAGGTAGCTTGATGTACGCTATGGTATGCACTAGACCTGATCTTGCACATGCTGTTAGTGTTGTCAGCAGGTTCATGATACAACCTGGGAAGGAGCATTGGCAGGCTGTGAAGAGGATCTTCCGGTACCTTAAGGATACACATGATGTGGGGATTAGCTTCGAAAGTGATACAGAGTGCTTGGTGTCTGGGTATTCTGACTTGGTTTATGCTGGAGATGTTGACACGAGGCGATCGATGACCGGTTATGTATTCGCTCTTGGGAGTTCTGTAGTGAGCTGGAAGGCAACTCTGCAGTTGGCGGTGACATTGTCTACTACTGAGGCAGAGTATATGGCGTTGACAGAAGCTGCTAAGGAGGGAATATGGTTGAAGGGACTGGTTGGTGATCTGGGTCTACATCATGATCAGGCAGTGGTGTATTGCAACTGTTTGAGTGCAATATGTTTGGCAAAGGATCAAATCCACCATGAGAGGACTAAGCACATTGATGTGAGATATCATTTCTTGAGGACAGAGAAGAGGATTAAGGTGAAGAAGGTTGGCACCGCGGATAATCCTGCTGATATGTTCACGAAGCCGGTTCCACATGGCAAGTTCCAACACTGATTGGATTTGCTGAATGTTTTGAGTGGGTGACTCCGCCCTACGAGGCATTGATGGCAGGAGAGAGAGAGAGAAGGAGCAGAGTACATCAGAGATTTCAGAGGAAGAGGATTCAAGTCAAGGTGGAGATTTGTTGATGTGACTTGAATCGGACTATCAACCGCTACGACTGGTAGTCGGGGGTCCATGGGCAACGCCCCCAGCCCGCGGTGTATGGGCTCAATGTTATTTTAGTTCAGGTTCTGGGCCTGGTCTGTAACCGTTTCCTTTGCCATATTGGATTTGGTTTAGACCCACATGGAGAAGTACTATAAATACTTCTCATACTCCTTTGTAATCTGTAATCTCCTCGATATAGTGAAACTGGCTCTCTCTCACCCGTGGACTAGCTAACACACATCGTGTTAGTGAACCACGTAAATCGTGTGTCTGTGTTTTTCGATTCTCGCTTTCGTATTCTTGCTTTATCGATTTCGGCGATCTCCCGATCCGTAGCAGCGCGTTTATAACAAAGTAGAAACACGTTTTCTAAGGAAAACGGGTTTCCTCTCCTAATCATCATTATTATTATTAGGAATTTATTAAATATGATTAGTGGTCTTTTAGTTGAATTAAGTTTATTATTATGTTCTCCTATCTTTTCCTATATAAGTGTATTTTGTGGTTTCGTTAGAATCAATCAAGAAAGTTAATACGAAAAATTATCCCCACCCTAGTCTAAATTTCTCTCTCAATCTCGTCTCTCTTTCTCTCTCCAAATGCCTCGACTGTTCTTCCTTGAATCCCTAATTTCTTCTTCTGATCCCCAATTCTTTTCTAAATCCCTAAATATCGATCAATTCCCAATTTCACAACCTGATAGTTATGAACCCTAGAAAAAGGTTTCTAACATTCTTGAACCTTAAGTCATACACAAAATCAAGTTTTTCTTCAATAATTACGTTATTCTCATTAAAGCTTAATCGGCAGAAGGCACAGAATCGAGAAAAAAAACACAATAAGGAAAACTGGAAGAAACAGTAGCAGGTTGACGATAAGTTTGTAGACTTTTCAAAATTTCAAATACAGATACAAATATATGAAAATTTTGTAACACATTTTTAATAAATAAAATAACCGGTAAGACTTTTCCTCTCCGGTTATTTTTTCTCTTAAAAATGTGTTACAAAATAACCGGTAAAACTCCACCTCTCCGAACGATAAGGGCTTGGCCTAGCACTAGACTAGAATCTGAAGGTCACAAATTCAAATTACTTAAATAGTAACTTAATTACAAAAAATTGAAACTTATATCACCCTTATAAAACAAAACTTTGCCTCTCCGATTAGTAGTTAACCATCATGTTATATCTGTTAGTAAACAGTATATGATCCACGATTGAACCTCTCCCAACAACTCGAGTTATTGGGATCAACTGGTTCTTGACATGGTATCAGAGTCTTCTGTGACCGTGAGGTCTTCTGTTCGATTCCCGGTGACCCCCATCTGTTTCTGTTAAGCACACGGTGTCCGGACCTGTGACTGTCCAAACTCCAAGCCTATCTGAATGACTTGAGTTTGAAGGGTTTGTTAGTAAACAGTATATGATCCACGATTGAACCTCTCCCAACAACTCGAAGCTGACAAGAATTTGGCCAACCTAACGCGTTTTCTAACTATTTAGGTAGCACTTAATTAAGTAGAAACCTTTCATTGTCAAAAACAAACACAGAAACCTGGTTGGGCAAGTGAATAAAACGCCACAACAGAACATTTCCCACACTCCTGTTGTCGCGAGAGACACGATCCAAAACTATAACATCATCCTAGGCAAAAACAGTGTGCTAAAATTTAACGAACATGAACGACACGTGCCCACAATATGTTCTGTCGTTTTCTAGCCTATGTGAGTCCATATATAGCGAGGAATTTGCCTGAACGATAAAGAAACAACGACATATATAGAGAGATAACTATCTAGCTACCACTCTGTATATCCATGGAAGATCCTGAGCTCACGAAGCTAGGAAGCTCTCTCCCTGTGGCTTGCGTTCAAGAACTGGCCAAGAACACCATCGCAGCCATCCCGCCCCGCTATCTTCGTCCCGATCAGGACCCTCCAAACGCCACTTCGCCACTTCAGATCCCTGTCATCGATTTGCAGAAACTGTCATCTCCTTCTCGCCATGGCGATGATGGTGATCTTACTCCAGAGCTGGACAGGCTCCATGCCGCTTCCAGAGATTGGGGCTTCTTCCAGGTCGGTCGATCCCTATATCATACTCTCCCGTCTACGTACTTATCTGTCGTCGACTAGAAGTCACATAGTGTTGCTGTAATATGTATCTTTTCAAGTATAGACTTATAGTAGTGGACTTGGTTCCACTTGTGGATTGACAAATACACATCATCGTGCTAGTGAATCACGTAAATTTGTGTAATTTTTTTTTTACTTTTTTTTATATTGACGATTTCCTAATCGGTTACAATAATGGAAGATAGTTGGTCTAATGCGTGATGATGTTTTGTTCGATATGTGTAGTTGATAAACCATGGCGTAAGCGAGTCGCTGACAGACAGGGTGAAAGCAGAGGTGGAGGGGTTCTTCAACCTGCCGATGGAAGAGAAGCGAAAGTATTGGCAGAAACCTGGAGAGATGGAGGGATTCGGGCAGGCGTTCGTGGTGTCCGAGGAACAGAAGCTTGATTGGGGAGATCTGTTCTACACGACCGCCCTTCCAAAACATCTCCGAAAGCCTCATCTCTTCCCTCAGTTGCCTCTCCCGCTCAGGTCTGTACTGTACCGGACCATATACCAAACACTAATATAATGTGGTCCAATCATTATTACATGATTTTTTTTAGGGTTAATACATTAGTTTGGCCCAAACTATACATAAACTTTCTACTTTGGCACGTGGTTTCGGAAATTGCTCTTCTGGCCTAAACTATGTATCATACTTTCTTATTTGGCCCGAAGGCAGGTTTGACCGTTAAATTGGACGGTCAACAGAGTTGACCGTTAGTCAATGGCCAGCTCACTTGGCCACATCAGCGAGCAGAAAATAAAATATTGATTTTTTTTTAATTTCTAAATTTTTATAAGAAAGGAAATAAAAATATTATGTTTATTATTATTATAAGAAAGGGAAAAAATACATAAATTCAAAAAATATTTTTTTTTTATTATCTGCTCGCTGACGTAGCCAAGTGAGCTGACCATTGACTAACGGTCAACTCTGTTGACCGTTCAATTTAACGGTCAAACCTGCCTTCGGGCCAAATAAGGAAGTATGGTACATAGTTCAGACGAGAAGAGCAATTTTCGAAACCACAGGCCAAAGTAGAAAGTTTGTGTTTAATTCGGGGCAATTTAAGGTATTTTTTAAATACAGAGGGGAAAATTGACAGCTGCGACATTTGGACCGGTCCAAATTGGATCGAATACAATATTGACACGGTCCTCAATCCTCGAATATCTTTTACGGTTGGATCGCAGTTCTCAGGAATTACCAGACCGTTGCACAACCCTATTCACAATAGAAAGGGGAATTCAATTGTTGTGTATAGCATCATATAGAATGTATTACTACAGACATGTGACATAAATTCATGTGTCGTGCAGGGAAACATTGGAAGAATATTCAGCGGCACTCAAGGCACTGGCAATCACCATTCTCGGTCTAATGGCGGAAGCTCTGAGGATGGACCAGGGCGACATGAAGGTTTTGTTCGATGAAGGGTGGCAGAAGTTTCGGATGAACTATTATCCTCCATGCCCGCAGCCGGAGCTGGTGATGGGTGTCAACTCTCACTCCGACGCCGTTGGTCTCACCATTCTGTTGCAAGTAACGAACGATACTCAGGGTTTGCAGGTTAAGAAAGACGGTCACTGGGTTCCGGTTGTTCCTCTCACAAACGCGTTCATTGTCAACATTGGTGATATTCTGGAGGTAAAATCATCAAACAAAATTGTCCTTTTTTTTGTTTTTAGCAAATACTATTTGTTTTTTATCGGGTTTAGAGGTGGCAATTGGATCGGATTCGTGGATTGGATTGGTGGATCCATGGATTAAATGGATTGGATCCAATGGATTGGTGGATTCATGGATTGGATCAAATGGATTGGTGGATTGATCCATGAATCCAAATGACATCCAAGGTTTGGACCAAAATGTAAATTTTGAAAAGTTTATGTACTAAAATGTCATAACGAAAAATTTTAGGTACCAAAATGTAATTTTCCAATGATTTTTTTCGTATAAAAATATAAATTTTAGGTACCAAAATGTAAAATATAAAATATATAGGTACCAAATCATAATTTGCCATTTGGATCCATGGATTGATCCATGAATCCACCAATCCAATTGGATTTGGATCAAATGGATTGGATTTAAATGGATTGGATTAAGTGGATAATTTGATGGATGGATTGGATTGGATTTATGGATTTGTATTCTAATTGCCACCTCTAATCGGTTTTGATAGTTCGAAATGATTTTCTTTAAATGTTCATATTCATTGATCAGCTTGAGTTCTATGAGAGAAGCTGACATGTAACATCATGAAAGAAAGTCATTGAGGATTAGATGTAGTCTAAGCCTCTTTGGTCTCACATATTGGAATCTTCTAAGTCCATGAACCACATGAATTTGATCCCAACGAATTTCGAGCAAACAATAATTGGCTACAAAATTTATGATGGATTGGATTGAGAACCCAAATCCGTCATTTAAATCTATAAAGCAAGCGACCTCTAAATAAATGGTATCAGTGGATATGAATTTGGTTCGCAGTCCTTGTACAACTTTGGTGTAAGCACACACTTACCTCTAAAATCGAGTGGACATGAGGCAACAATTCACATTCGTTGGATAGACACGATAATCATTACTTTTAACATTTTTCACATATATCCCATGACTATGAATAGTTAGGACAGAAGATTTGGTTAGTAACCTCATTAATTATTATCATGTTTAATATTTTTCTTTTTGATAAAGATCATGTTTAATATTTTTCCATTTAACTTAACGGGTCATATCTCCTTGGGAACAAAAAATATGATATATATCATCAGACTATACCATATTGGTGATGTTTGGTAATATATAAGTTTATATCATAAATTCATAATAGCATATACATATATCATAATGTAGAATGGTTGTATATTCAACAGTAAAAATATATTAATCATCATACATAATTTTTCACCACCATCTACCACCAGTTATGGTATATGATAATATATTTTTTCCTCAATTTTATTTTTTATCATAATGAACACATTTCTAATTTGCTATTATATTATCTTCTTTCCGTGGATGCAGATAGTGAGCAATGGGATATACAAGAGCGCCGAGCATCGGGCCACCGTCAACTCTGACAAGAAACGGATTTCGTTCGCCACTTTCCTGAGCCCAAAGCTGGACGGGGACTTGGGCCCGGCCCCTAGCCTGCTGATAAATACCCAAGCCCAACCAGAGTACAGAAGGATCGGCGTCGCCGACTACTTCAAGGGCTACTTCGGCCGGCAGCTCGCCGGCAAATCTTACATCGATGTCATGAGGATTCATCAACATTAATTAATTACTCCAAAAGCAGGCCCAACATGATGTGATTGATATTGTCATTTCTCTTCTATCTGCTACGGCTCTTAATAAAATGGGTTATAGGTATAACTAGCTTTTTACCGGCCCATTGGCCGGAGAGATTTATTTTATAATTTATATTAATTAACTTATTTATATGTTTAAATCATTTTGGATCTTCTATTATGTTATTGATTCATAACAGAGTTTGTAGACTGTAGTATGTTTATATTGAAAATTTCCAATATTTAGCACACTCACTTATGATACTTCGGTTTTCTAATAATAAATTATATCGTTTTCACGTCCCATTTAGAACTTATGTAAAAAAATTTCAATCAAAATACTAATATTAGCCTACGTCAGCCTGAACCCCCCCCATATATATATATAGGTGGCTACTTCGGTACACTCACGAAAATTAGTGCATTCAATGCACCCAACTCTAAAAGTAGCCTTAAGACATCAAATTTTTATTTTAATTGGTAAGATTAGTGTAATATAAGATCATAACTAATCAATACATTACCATAAGCCCTAAACCTTCAATTTTGAACTTTTGCCCTAAACCCCAAATCATTAACCCGAACCCTAACTCCAAATCCATAAACCATAATTCATTCAAATTAATGTAAAATTTGAATAATTTTTGTGCTAATTCATGGGGTTTCTTGTTCATTGTATCATACGTGATTATTAACATTGTTTTGACATGAATTGCTTGCTCAGAATGACAATTATGAAGCGAGTGCATTGAATGCACCCAAAAAAGTGAGTTCACCGAAGACGTAACCATATATATGTGTGTGTGTGTATATATATAGTAGACTCAAAATTATTCAGGTACCTCGTCAGACCTATCTTATCTCGCTTAATACTCATATTAAAAGTGCTACTTGCCTATCCCCCCACCCTCGGGATAGAGATCCCGCTTTTAACCCCATAGCGTCAGACAACCATTGGGGTTGTCTATCGTTCGATATGTAATATATAAAGAGGCAAATCCTGAGATCCTGCTATTTATTTCATATCCTCTCCAGCCGCCCCCTTTATGGAGAATAAAAGGGTAGGGATGACAGGATCATAGCTCGATATGTTTTATTCTGCTCATCGTATCGGAGGTTTTGTTTTGTTTTTTTTTTGGCTTCTTTTCATTCTTCTTTGACACCTATGGTTGTGATCAGCGGTATTTCACCCCCGAAAGGGATTGAGATTTTCGGTCATTTGGAAACCCAATACACATTCGCACTCCCCGAGTTTGGACGAAATCTTGACCAATGTTGTAAAAATTAGGAATTTTTAGGAGAAATTCTTAGTAAAGATACTTCATTACTGGATCAATTTATTCATCTATATTGAAACTTGACACACACCGTAGCCCTCATGATGATTAAATTCTCTAATCTCGACTCAATCTAATACACTCACACACACTATCGAGGATTTTGGTCTTAATATGGTCGTTGAATGTGTAATTTTCAAAGATTATATCACTTATATATTAATAATTGATAAAGAGTGTCTACATTACACACACTTCAAGTGCATTTAAAATGTCTTATCATTTGAACAATATTAGTGGATTTCATTTGATTATTTGCATTAACTTATTATCTTATACAACATATATCAATTCGTGATTCTCGAGTTTGGAAGAATTGGCAACCAATTTTGAGATTTGAGATTATTGGATAAAGATACTTGATTGATGGATAAATATGTTTATCCCAATTGACTATCTTACTAAAAATTGCCAACCTTTATTTGGAAAATGCCTAGGTTAGTATGTTTATCGTAGATCTCATCAAAGATTTTTCTAACCATCACATATGTAATTTTTCAAGGAATCTGGTGTCTCATCCTAGGGTATGAAGTTAAAGTTCATTAAAAATATTACTTAAGTCATTTTGAAAATTTTGATTTATAATCATGGACTATAACTCCAAGTCTGAAAGAAAATTTCTTAGCATGCGACTTAGGATCTCAATAGAGCTTGATCAATCAACATGATATAGAGCAACTATTATTAATGTGAACTTATGTCACAATATAAAATTATTGCACATGCGATTCCTCTTCATTTAAGGAGTTTAAGGTAGAACATGATCTGAATAAATAAGAAGTCTTTTTTAAATAAATAATTGTAAGTACTCTATCAAAATTATACTCTGATTGGTTGATTGGTTGTGGGCATGTATTTCTTCAGTATCCTTCTCTGTGCTTATCAATGGCTCTCCCCATGGTTACTTTCATCCTGAGCGGGGATTGCGTCAAGGTGATCCGCTCTCTCCTTTGTTGTTTGCGCTTTACACGGAAGGTTTTTCTAGTGTTATTAATCGAGCTATCCATTCTGATTTGTTGCATGGCCTGAAGGTGCACCGTCGGTGCCCCAGTATTTCTCACTTGTTTTTTGCGGATGATTCATATTTGTTCCTCCGGGCTTCCCCTTTGGAATGTCATAATCTTCTTCATATTCTTAATTCTTACCAGCAGGTGAGTGGTCAGAAGGTCAATCTTCAGAAATCCACTGTTACTTTTAGTAATAATGTTTCTGCAGCTGAAGCCTCAACTATTATCTCTCTGCTTGGCGTGGCAATCAGTGGTCCCCAAGATCGTTATCTGGGACTTCCGATGCGCGTCTTGCGTTCCAAGCAGGATACGTTCCGGTTTGTTGAGGAAAGCCTGGTTAATCGGATTCAAGGATGGAAATCTAAGTATATGTCTCTAGCGGCAAAGGAGACAGTGATTAAATCAGTGGCTTTGGCCCAACCGATTTACACGATGTCGTGTTTTCGAATCCCGTCACTCTTTTGCAGGCGCTTAAATGGGCATCTTGCTCGCTTTTGGTGGAGTCAACAGGATAGAGAGGGTGGCATGCGTTGGACCTCTTGGCGTGCTTTGTGTCGTCATAAATCCATTGGGGGTCTGGGTTTCCGTGATCTAGACTCCAATAACATTGCTCTGCTTGCCAAACAAGCTTGGAGGATTGTCCAGAATCCGGATAGCCTCTTAGCTACTACATACAAAGGCAGGTATTTTCCTAACACCTCTTTTCTTTCTGCTACTGCTGGTACGCGCCCGTCATGGGCATGGCAGGGTGTTCTTTTGGGCAGGGATCTTTTGGTCCAAGGACTCCGTTGGTTAATTGGTTGTGGGATGTCGGTTCACATTACGAATGATGTTTGGCTACCCACCACTCCTCCCTCTAGGCCTATTTTGCTTCCTGGGGCTGTCTTACCTGACTCTTTTGTTTCTTGCCTTATTAATCATGGGCAAGGTACCTGGAAGGAGAACGTGCTTTCAACCCTCTTTGATTTTGCCACTGTCCAGTTAATCTTGTCTATTCCTCTGCCAATTTTTCCTGTGGCTGACCGTTTGATTTGGCATTTTGAAGTCTCAGGCGAATATTCTGTGAAATCTGGGTATCGTTTAGCTACGGCTGAATACGTTGCAGATTTTTCCACAATTCCATGGACTTTTGATTCTCGCTCTTGGAAGTTTCTATGGTCTCTTCCTGTTCCCCCAAAACTTAAATTTTTTCTTTGGCGCGTGGTTAAAGGCTTCCTCCCTGTTCGAGATGTGCTTCGTGATAAGGAACTGATTGCTGATGAAGATACTGAGGCTTACGCCTGCCCTGTCTGTGGTGGTGCGGCTGAGACCCTTGCTCATTGTTTTTTGGATTGTCGGATTGCTTTGGAGTTGTGGGAATTGTTGGGGTACAACCATATTCTTGCCCAAATTCGCATGTGTCATGTTGCAATTGGTTGGCGTAGGATATTTTTTGATGCAGGTTTATCTAAGGTTGAGATTTCGCGGTTGGTTTTTCTGTACTGGAGGCTCTGGAAGTCCAGGTGTTTGGCTACTTACGATGGTATTCAGTATTTCTCCCATGTTTTATCACGTCATTATTACTCTCAGGTTGCTGAATGGGAGCTAGCACAGGCGCATCCGGTGAGATCCTTGCCTCGCGGTCCATCTGCTTCCAGTGGGGTTTTACCTCGTGATCAGGCCCCTCCTTCCATACCTCCCGGTGCAGTATTGGTACACTTTGATGGTGCCACCAAATCTTTGGTCGGTTGTGCCATTGGTTTTGTTGGCTTTGATGAGGCGAATCACTCCATTTTCTCTTGGGGGCGCTTTATTCCTAATATTGATGACCCATTTCTCGCAGAGCTCCTGGCCCTTCGCGACTCTTTACGTTGGTGCGTGGCTCACTCTTTCACTAATGTTTTGTTTTGTGGGGATGCGCAGGTGATCGTTCGGCTGATTAATGCGAAGGACTCGGCGCACGCGGTGGGTGGAGCTCTCCTGCAAGAGATTCAGATGTTGCGGGCTTCGTTCCTTCGTGCTTCGTTCCATTTCGCTCCCCGTAGGTTTAATAGGGCTGCCCATCTCGTGGCAAGACAAGCCCTTGGAGCGATGGTGCAGACACTTGTCGACCATCGCGTTTTATTTATTTAATTTCCTAGTCTGGTCTTAGGAGGCCTTGTATATTGTCGTATCTTCGCTGCATCCGTTTCGGGATAACTTTGGCAAAAAAAAAAAAAAAATTATACTCTGACATTTTGCTAAATAATACTTGTTTTATTTTATAGACATATACTTTACGAATAAGAGAGTGTTTCGTTGCAATAAAATATAAAGTAATATAGTTTATTTTTCAAAGGTAATTGAATGTCAAATGTTTATTTTCTCTCTTTACATATATATATATATATTGTTTAATCGATAAAATTATTATTTTTTTATGCGTATGTTTGTTTATTTTTTTCATCAAAATTTAATTTATCATTCAATTTTAGTAAAAATGAGTAAAAAATTTACTTCATAAGGTTTATCATATTTTTTTATAAAAAAATGTGATATATGTCACTCTCTATTTTCTTATTTACATTTTGTTACTTGAAAAAAAATATTATTTATGTGTGTTTGATTAAGTTTATCAACATGTAACTTATTATCAAAGCAAATCAAAGAATAAATGGATAAATGAAAAAATAATTGGATAAAAGAAGTGAAAATATTAAAGAAGAGAGAGGTAGCTCCATAAATACATTAATAACTAATTTTTTTGTTTGTAAAAAAGTTGTCCAACTTGGCAAATTGTGGATCCTCCAAGTGCTTATGTGGCAAGAGATTGCTTTTGAATTGCCATAATATATAGTATAGATATAGATATAGATAGATAGATATAGATATAGATAGATAGATATAGATAGATATAGATATAGATATGTATCTCCATTATAATGTTTTATCAAGCATGTCCCTCTACTATTTTTTACATCAAACATGCTCCTGTATTTTGATAAAATTATAAAACCAGGCATCGGCAAATAA